CCTCCAACAGTGTATGCGCCACATCCAGGGTATAGGAAACCAGTTCTTGACTACTGATCGTGGAAATTATTTTTAGTTTTTAAACCTTCAATGTACTCGTAGACGAGTCACGTTTGCTTCGTTCCGTTCAAATATCATACTTGTTTTTACGATATACTTTAAATATGTTTTAACTTCTGTCTCATTATTACGTTTGTGCGTTGAACGCTGAAGTTCACACCGCGGCGGAGACCGAAGTGAGAAAAAACACATAAAGGTGAGATTTTCTCCGGAGCCTCGCCCATTAAAAAATAGAATAACGTGGATCCAATTAAGGAGGTCATTGCCCACCTCGGACTCCAATCCAATTTAAACTGAATAAAACTGTCCGTCTGATAATTTGGGGATTTTCGGGGGAGGTTGGCAACGAATCCTCCGCCTCGACCGGCGGGCGAAACGCGCCCATAACATGGTTTCTTCACGGTTCCTTTAAATAATAAGTATTACAGTTAAAAGTTACAGAACACTGATAGGGGTCTGATGCTGTTTGAGTGCGTTGTTTGAGCTCCGTTCTATCGAAGAATACACTTCTCCTTGTTCACGTTTTTACAAATGGACGTATTTATGCTAAAAAGGAACTGTGTGCATAGGGGTTGCGTGTAACATAGTTCCTGTTAACATAAATATGTCAACATTAGAGTCCCTTCTTACCCAGAGTTACGACTTTTGGTTTGGTACTCACTTTTGATTGGGCTGAAAGTGGCCCAAAAAAAAATCCAATTCTGATTGGTTCTCGCCCATGGGGTCACAAACGAGTGCATCAAGATGGCGGTGACTCGAATGTGAACAAAAATAATGAAAATATTACCTAATTGTGGTTTATCAAGAGTAAATTGTTATTTCCATCGGTCCAAAATGAAAACAGATTCAGCAATTATTCACAAACCAATCTCATTTTCTTTTTGATTGATCAATTTTGTTGATGTTGTTGTTTTGGGATGACAGACATCGCAGGATTCCTTATCCTTATCCCTCAATGTAGTTCGTTTGGGTGCACTCGTTTGTGCCTCCATGGCCAGCCACGGCCGGCTATGCCAGTCAGCTGATAATCGAGTTGTCTTAACTCTGGGTATAAAGAGACTCTAGTCCAAATGATCATTGCAATGATCATTGAAAAACTCCAGGAGCAGTCAACGGCCATCCTCAGTCAATGCTTTATATGCTTAATTTTCATCTATGCTTTTGAATTTCTCTTTTATTTAAGAAAGGCAGTGAATTCCTCACAGTACCCTACTGAAATCTCCTTTCAACTTTTTCCATCGCTACATTTTCATTAGGAGCCGTTTAAATTTGAATACAACGAATCTTTCGCAATTTTACAGAAAATGAAAGAATTTATTCTTCTACCAGAACAGTTTTTGGGAGGGCATGGAATTTCTGGATTTGATGCGGCTGAATAAGTGGAAGTTGGCATCGAAAAGCGATGAAAAAACTGGAGCACGAGCAAAATTAACGAGAGTTTAAATGATCGGTGCAAGTCCGACTGGAGCAAGAGCAGATGATGAGATGACGAAGCAAAGAGCAGTTGACCGAGTTGATTACCAGTCCTGCCATCCACACGAAAAACACCGTATGGTCATTCAAATGTCACCAGATTTTGTGTGAATTTTTCCGTGACATTGTCGGAAATCATGTTATAAATTTTTTATAACATTCTTCAAACTATTAGGAAAACTAAATCACCAAGTTTTTTTTAAAAAAAATACATATTTTATCTCATATAATTTGGCGCTATCCAAATGGCCCGATATATGGCATTATACTACGTTGGTCCGGTATAATTTTTATTCTCATTTCGACAGCGTGTACTCTTTCTTCATTTATTTTCGTACCTTACCGTTACAAGCCGTTCGTTCCTTCCCCACTTTCGGCACGAAACTGTTTAAGAGAGAGAATTCACAAGATGAAATTCCCTGACATTTCCCTGATTTCCCTGACACCTTTTGGTGAAATTCCCTGACGATCGAACAAATGCCAGATTGTTAAAAAAGCAAGATAAGAAATAGTTTTCACGCAAAATTGATTGTTTGCAATGTCGAACCCACTCCAGAAAGCAAGTAAAGGTGACTGGACGATATTTCCCTGACATTTTCGTCATTTTCCCTGACAATTCTAGGTTTGTCCCGACTTTTCAAAATTCCCTGACTGTGGCAACCCTGTTCGTTGCATCATAAGTTCACAGAGGCGCCACTTGAAGGAAACCCGGGAAAATCAATCAAACCACTATTAGGCCTCTAAATTCCGTATTAATGAAGGAATGCGCGTTGAAAGTTTCCACGACACGTTCGACTCGCTCCCCTGTGCGCGGGGGCGCAACGTCCGCTATGAAAATTACGGGGAATGAAGGCGCATGCGCAGCTGGGCTTCGCTTTCGGGTGATTCCTCGCGGGAATTACGCAATCGACCGCGGATCCGATCGCGGGGCGTAAGCGTAAAAGCGTAAGCCGACGTTGCCATATCTTTCCAAGAGCGTTGGTTCCCCGGCAAAATAATCGGGTTGGAGCGAGCGACTTGGCAACGGCGGAAGCCCACCGGGCTCGGGCGCGGCGGTGGGTAACCGATCATCGGCGACCGCGGGAACTTGCACCGGAATCGATGGATGATGTGCGTGGATCGTGGAATGCCGGCCGCAAAGCTCGGCCGACCGCTCCGGTGCAGCAATTTAAAAATTAGCCTCCTTCGCACCGGCGTGGCGCAGGGCCCGATGGGGAAGTTGAGGTGGATTCACCGGGGCTGGGGCTCCCAACTTGTCGTTCGTTGACGCGACGCTCGGCAGGGGCGGACGGGAGGGGGGGTGTGCTGACCGCAGCTCACATAACTGACCAAGTTGTCATTTGTAAGGCTAGTCACCCGAGTAAGTCCGCTTCCGACATTAGCGTCATGCTCTTCTTATCTCCAATGTCACTCGTTGTCACTTGTGATCATGATTTCCGACATGAATTATCTTCAGAGGCCGTGCACAGATTGGACCGCGTTTAGCAGAAAGAATCCAAGGTGGGTAGAAGGCATCCGTGAAGAGATGGAGAGATGCCAGCTTCCGGAGGATCTCTACCATGACAGATTCCTGTGGCGGGTAGGCGTCGCAGAGCGCCCTAGCGCGCCGTAAAAGCGGCTTATACATACATACACCCAAGCCACGTTAGCTATTGTCTAATTTAAGAGGGCAATTTAATTTTTATACGAGAGAGCGTCTGTGCACTGAAAAAAAACTCTGGCCGGAGCCCGTACTCACGGGCTACATAGACATACCGTCCAGGTTCCGGACTCAGAAGCCGGAAGTTCCCAAATAGGCGTAGCACCCAGGGCAATCGAAGCTACGGCTTCAGCAACAGGAATTTACGGCCTCTGAGCCCGAAACGGACGGTTAATTCAACCAATTTTAGATGGGCTTTGACAAAAGTAGTTTACCTGAGAAATTAGTCTTCTAAGCAACAAGGTTCCTTTTCCGTTGGTGATCACATTTGAGACTTTATAATAACTGCATTGGCGATTGATTGATGAAGGCATCGGTTTTTTTCACTTCTTATCTGACTAAACACCATGTAAAAATCAGAAAGCCGTGTAGGCAATCGACTTCGGAATGAGGAAAATGATAACAAAATTTGAGTGGAAAAGAATTCACGCATACATAAGATTTTTCAATGTAGTCCTAGGATGTAGAAATGCAGCATCCAATGGATTTGTTATAAGCTTGACAAATATTCGATTAGAGTATTTTCTCATCAAAAGAGCACGGCGATTAGCTTTTCGAGGAATTTCAGAAATCAAAATTTAACAAATCCATTAGGAAACCTGTGAACATGTTTGATAGCAAAGAATTCTTGGTATGCAAATAATTTCAGAGTCTGTATCAGCTAGCCCTAAGCCGCACTTTTCCAACAAGTACAATTCGACTCAATGGAACGCTCTTGCCTTGCTAAGGAAAAATGTCGTATAAATATTCTAGCGTTGCCTTATTTTTCCTAATATTGATATCAATCGCCGGCAAATTGAAATTTAATAGTTTTGAATGAAAAATGTAGGAATTTAAAAGTAAAGAAACAAGTAAGGAAGTGCTGATCAGCCTTCACTCTTAATCGGGCTCAACGACTCGATGTTCAGAGGGTGTATAAAAGCGATCAAAATGGATCAAAATGTGCAAGAGGCGTCAAAAATCAACGGATGGTCGATCTAGATCGCAAACTGGGTGTCGAACAGCCGGGCTAAGGAAAAACGCCGTATGAGCCTTCAGATGTTGCCAAAATTCCTTTGACGAATCACGAATTTTTGGAAAAATTTGTAAACATTTTTCTCCAGATTTTTCAGAGAATTTTGTCCGTAATTTGATCTAAAGTTTGCGACAATTTAAAGGGGGAATTTTCCCCAACTTCAAAAATAAATATTTCCCGAGACTAAATATGGCAACGCCTGAAGGCTCATACGGCGTTCTTCCTTAGCCTGACAGCGTACCGAACGGTCTATTGAGGGATAACGAAGCGTGCGAAAACCCCGATTTTTGCGCGCGAACCGCAAGGCGCCGGGCCGACAAAATCCGATCTCTTCCTCTCGCCGTAACTGAATTATATAAGCGAATAATTTCATTATCGAACCATCGCGGAGGTAAATACGACCGACGTCTAGACACCATCGCATCGCCCGGACGGAAAGTTGCCAATTTTCGATCGTTTTGGGATAGCAGCCGTGGAAATGGCATCACTCAGCTTTTTCACCCACAATTGGCAAGGTGGTAAAGGCATATTTTTGTGGGAACGCTTGCGCCGATTATGAATGGCGTTATTTTTTTTTTTTTATTTAAATTCAACAAAAACCAGGAACTAGCCAATTTCACGAAGACCCGTGGCAGGAGTCAGCGAGAAAAAAGAAGAGCAACCGTGGCCTCCTGCAGCGCGCGGAGTGCGGGCTTAAAATTACCAAAATTATCCCGGGTGAAGACTAACCGATTACCTTTGTTGGTGTTGCAGGTTGCCCGGAGATTATATCCAGGATCGTCGACGAAAAACGTAAGTCAATGAACTGTGATCGTTTTTCAATTGCATTTACTGTTACATTTCTATTTATATTTATTCGATGGTCTAATTTATCGACAGAAGGATAATACATCGTTGAGTGAGATGCTCCAACCTATACGATGATGACACAGCAATGAGTGAGAATTTCACGCATCATTTAGATGTTACTGGAAAGTAAAAAGGTGCTTTAAACAGAACTGAAGGGCTTTTAAAAAAGTAATACACTGGAAAAAAAAAAAAAAAAAAAAAAAAAAAAAAAAAAAAAAAAAAAAAAAAAAAAAAACACATTGGATCTAGAGTCCAGACTCTTGAAAACATTGACAAGAAAAAGACTCTTGATTCAATCAGATTTAAGCTTAAATCAAAAGGAAATCTGCTCAAATTAAGAGGCTTGGTTCTTGATTTAAGCTTAGATCTGATTGAATCAAGAGTACTTTTTCTTGTCAATGTTTTTAAGAGTCTGGACTCTAGATCAAATATGTTTTTTTTCCTGTGTATAGCATTTTTTTTTATCAATTTCAAAAATCAGCCAATTGATGCTGGTCATTACATAGGTGAAGGACGAGGAGCATCGAATTTTGATTTTCGTTTCTGTATTGGAGCGGCCCGATGAGGCACAGCTGTTTTCGTTCGTCTTCACGTTCGTTGAAATATGTGATCAAGACAAGAGTTGATGGGTGGAATTATGCTTAAAAGTGAAGGGATAGGGCGGAGCGGCGGGNNGGAGGGGGGAGGGGGAGGGGTCGAGGAAAAGTGCTCATGAGACGATGAGCAGCGCAGCGGAGCAAAAAATCCGGAGGAATACTTCCTGGATTCCTCGTTAGCCGAGTCGGGGTCGTGACTAGGATGAACCGCAAAACCGCACGGGATTGAAATAGAGCGGCTTTCCGGCGGACCGAGAAGATGAATGTGGAAATAAGAATGTCGAGCTAGATAAATATTGAAAAAAGGGAAAAATTGGGATCACTCCGGAGATGCACACGAGAATCGATTCAGTCCATGTTGCCAGCACTGGAAAAAAATCATTGGATTTAGAGTCCAGACTCTTAAAAACACCGAAAAGAAATTCAATCAGAATCTAGCTTAAATAAAGAGCCAAGCCTCTTAATTAAAGTGGATTTCGTTTTGATTCAAGCAAAAATCCGATTGAATCAAGAGTATTTTTTCTTGTCAGTGTTTTTAAGAGTCTGGACTCTAGATCCAATGTGGTTTTTTTTCCAGTGAGGCTCCAAAGAGGTCACTTCTATCACCCCTCCTGCTCCTCCCGCGGATGACAAAATATGAAAAAAAAAAAAAAAAAATTCTTCTTAGTTTTAACTCTCCCGAGGAAAAAAACTCTTTTTATTGAGGGCATTTTTTTCACATACATCTCCTTCCTTTTCCTCCTTTTCAGATACCTTTAATCTTGTCAAATAACTGTTAGTGCATTGGAAAATTCTTCCACCGTCGAATATACCGAAATCCGTGCAGTGCTCAATTTGACTTAGGTAGACTCTGGTCTTTTTCGGGGNGGGGGGGGGGTTCTCGGGTTGAGGTCAAAGGATAGAAAGGTTAAATGAAAAAGCAAAATTTTCAAGGTCAAGTGCCCCCGTTTGTGCATGGTAACGACAAGGAATTATGTTTTTTACATTTGTCTACTTTTCTACTCCAGCGTTCAAGTCTCCGAACATGTGCACGTTCAGAAAAGCGCTCTATTGGTGCTGAGAGATAGCGGAAGAGCAAATTGACGCAGATAATAACTGGGTTTTAAGCTGGGCTACGCTAGTTTTTCCAGCTCGTAACTGGAATTTTGAAACATTTTGATGAGTCCATCATATTCACAGAGGAATTCCGATGGGAGACCATATATCGCGCGGTTCTTGATTTCATATCGTGTCTGGCGGTCCATCGGGCAACCACGCTCGTGGAAGCGAATATCATGCATGATTGTGCATAATTTATGATTGCCCGGATTCGAGATTCGACCTGACCCAGAAAAATTCGGTGATAGCTCCGGTAATGAACTTGGTCTGAAAAACAAACGAAATACGGTAACCGAGCCCGAAACGCAAACGGCCGTGCGCGGATACAGCGAGTGCTTTGTAATGAGGGGGAACAATTTACCCACGGAGGAGGTTATCCGCTGCCCGGGTTCGGACTCCTGGTCACACTTCACCTGTTGCACATTAACTCGTAAACCCCAGCGCGTGTCCTTGGCAGTGCATTTTTGGGTTCACAGGCCGCTCCGCGTTTGCCGGCATCCAGTCTTTCCCGGAATCCGTGTTTACCCAGCCGTGTTATACATTCGAAAAAGCTCCCGGCTAACGACCTGCTCGGCGACTTAAGTAGAGCCGTCTCAAAAAAGCATCCGGCTGGAAGATCCTTCGTCTAGTGCAACCCGCTGAGTGCGACACTTCACTCTGCAAACTTACCTCGTTTCCATGTCCTTGGGCATCGCGGGGCTCAGGACGTTGCATCCACCCAGCCGTTCGGTTAGGTAGGGTTAGACTAGATTAGGTTAAGGTCGGTTACGTTAGGTTCGGTTAGGTTAAGTTCGGTTAGGTTAAGTTCGGTTAGGTTAAGTTCGGTTAGGTTAGGTTAAGTAGATTAGGTCTGGTTAGGTTACGTTAGAGAGGTTAGATAAGGGTGGATGCATCGCAAGTGGATGCAAAGTCACGCACCCGGCATCGCGTTCTCTGCCAAACCTAGCGATAAGCAATAATTTTGAAAGTAAGAGAATGAGTCAGTTGCGCTGGTCAAGGAATCGTGTTTTGATGCTTGATTCTTGGAGATCAGCGAAAAATAATAAGATCCGTCCAAACAGCAACTTTCTCAGTTCAATATTAACCGCGAAATCGCGCTTTGCAAAAGTCGATGTATGACGTCATCCGCCGCGGCAGTGACACCCTTCGTTTCTTCCACCTTGCTTTCATCAGTCAGGGATTGCAATGGTCACTTGATGTGAAACTTGGACGAAAACAAGGTAGAGGAAACCAAGGGTGTCACCAGCGCGGAGGATGACGTCATAAATCGACTTTTGCAAAGCGCGATTTCGCGGTTAATATTGAACTGAGAAAGTTGCTGTTTGGACAGATCTTATTATTTTCAGCTGATCTACAAGGATTAAGCATTAAAACACAATTATTTGACTAGCGCAACTCTGCCATGCTAGGGAAGAACGCCGTATGAACATTTGAGAGTTGCCAAATTTCCTTCGATAAAATGGTTATTTTTGAGGAAAGTTTTGAATATTATTCCTTTTAATTTTCAGAATCTTTAGGTAAAATTGCGAACAAAATTACCCGAAAAATTGAAAAGAAACTTTTCATCAGTTTAACAGGAAATTCGCGTTTTATCAAGGGAATTTGGCAATGCCTGAAGGTTCATACGGCGTTTTTCCTTAGCACGTCAGAACTGACCCAGAGAACGGGAAAACTAGAAATTACACAGTGAGAAGAAGTAATCAAACATTTGTGTTATTGAGGAAAGAGGAAGACGAATGGGTCGAAAAATTGGAAATGTAGAGTTGGATAAGTGATAAAGGGCCCCTGAGTGAGAAACGGCGGAATTGGTTGGCTCTCGACGGGAGCGGCTGGCTCGTGGCTCGCAGGAAAACGGGCAGGCTGGACCGAGCGGCACTGGCGAGCGCAGGCCTAACCCATTCACCTAAATCCGCGCGTCGACCCGTGTTTCCGCTTTCCCGTTCCCCGTTGATTTGTGCGGGATTAAGCCCAGGCCAAGTGGCAAGAAACGCGGAATGTGGACTGAGCGTGCGCTCGAGTAACAGGTTCCCGCCGAGTAATCTCGTTATGACGCAAAGGGCAAAAGCTCGTCCGCTCATTTGCCGCCCGGCCATGATGCCAAATTCAAGGATTTTCCGAGAGTCATCATTAGTGTTCGAAACTCACAAGCGCCAACGCGCTAAATGCGCCTAAAAAATCGGCAAAGGCGCCTAAAAAATGAAAGCTCTGCGCCAACGTGGCCCCTAGAAATTCCCCCTTTCCACCCCGCAAAAAAATCCTAATTTCTCTGTTTGGTGATTTTTCGAAATTTCCCCCAAGTTGCAGTTACTGTTTCTGTAACTAAAGCATCTTGCGTCTAACTTTTCAGTAAATGCGTCGTGATATAAAGGCAAAAAAGCAATCTGGCCCCTAAAAAATCTTCAATGGCCCCTAAAAATAGATCTTGATGCGCCACATGGCTCCTGAAACTCAAAGGTGAGATTCGAACACTGGTCATCAATATCCCCAATTCGTCGTATCCCAGATGAGAGAGCCTATAACCACATTTGAGCCACATTTTGCAATGAGGAAGCACAACTTCTGACTTATTTTAGAAACAACAAATATGCCATTCGTTCGCCGAGACTGATGGTAAAAATTCGGGATTTGAGTTTTCAACAGTTCCGAGCAGCTTACTTAATTTTTATGCCAACAGGACATGCATAGTGGAAAATGTATTCATCGTCACAAGGAAATGTTCGTGAAGCGCTCCTCTGGGCACTGGTACCGATATCTGTTTCATCCAATCATTTGCCACGGACGTATTTTTTCTAGTGCGCTGCTGGGGTCTGGAATTTCTGATACACGATCAAAATTCGAACCAATTCTAATCAAAGCCCAGTTGATGACTGATGGTCATCATGCAACGTGCATGTCTCTTTGATCAACATTGGCCAAATTGTCCTCTTTGGTCAAATTTTGATCAGAATGAAGTGCCACACCATTCATCATTTATTGGAACCAAAATTTCCGATGATCGTGAAAAATCGCTCATCCAGAACAACAGAAATGAACCAAATAATGCCGATGCGCGCACATTGACCGAACCGTGCGTTCCGTGAAAGCTATCTGTTTTTCGCGTGCATAGGATCGGAGAAGAGTGATGATTACTGTAAGGAACCGCTGGTACTCAATGGCTTTATGTACCTTTTTTATGTCACACCTTAGGTCATAATTTCAACGGGTGAGGAGCTGAAATAAATTGAAACACCCGCAAAACACGTTTCTTCT